AATTTCTTGAATTCTTAAGTTTATTTCATTTAGATGCACTTCAGCTGTAATTCAGAATGTGGCATGGCTATCCTTTAAAGGAATTTAAAATTCTAAATTATATTAAAAATTAAATAATTGCAGTCAAAATATGTTTTTCTCATTATTCCTCTTTGAACAGAGCGTGGATCACACTTCTTGCAAGCCTCATTGTTTTGAGGTGGGGCTAAGATGAGCATAACCAGCGATGAAGTGAATTTCTTGGTATATCGTTACCTCCAGGAATCAGGTAATTTCCGTTCTTTTAACAATATAATGTATTTCTCAAACACAAAATACCTTAGAGGTATCAAAATCATCTAATCATCTAAGATAAGTTAAAATAAATATTATGTTAATTGTTTTGTTGAAAAGTATCATTTATACCCAGTATAGCTTAACCAGTTTTTGTTTTCTAACCTACAAAGGCACTAACTTCCAATTGGGTTAAAGAAATTTGCAGAATTGCTAATAGGATTTAATCCTCACAGTGAAATGTAACAGAAGTATAAAAAACATAGTAAAACTTTTACACAGTAAAAGAATGCAACATCATTCTGAATCATAACTTCAGAAGGTTCTGTGGATGGAAAGGCTCTATTAAATAATATATTTAATTGGTGAAACAATATTGTTCTGTATGGGCTTTAACAAATACTTGTAAAGAGGACAGGGCAACAAATAACTGTTGTCCCTACATTTTGGTTGATGATTAAATGAGAAGCAGCATCTTTCCAAAGAACCAGAGATGGAGTGATCATGCAGGAAATCGTTTCTTGGTAGGTACAGTGATTCTGAACTGTTTAAAGTTTTAAAAATAATTATCATGTTGAATTGGTCTTGGAAGGAATCTAAAAGCCAATTTATTGGAGCAATAGAAGAATCAAATATTCTACCAAGCTCATTTGAAACTCTCAGTGGTGGTTTCTGTTTCAGCCATTCCTGAGCATTTTTTGAAGGCAGCACCACAACAAGCATCGTGTAGTAATTATACATGTCTTCTGTGGTTCTAAATTGCCTATATGTACTTGTGTACATATTAGAACCAAACTGTCATCATCATAATGCAGTAAAATTTTAATTTTCAAGACAAATCATAGTCTATGGAATGGAGTTGAAGGCTGTATGAAAAAATTGTCCATTGTATCTGAGGTCCATTAAACCAAGGTACCACTGAAATAATAAAATAGAGTTACAATGTTAATCCACACTGTGAAAAATAAAGTTCAACTCATACCATTTTATTCTTGTTTTTATAACCTTTTGGTTATTTCATCACATTCTTCCTTGGCATAACTTGTATTAATGTTGAAAAATGTTCTTTTGAGCAAAGAAAGCAGAAATCATGGACTAGCTTTATAAAATATATCCTGTTGGATTATCTCATACTGACCCAACCCATCTCGTCTGCATATAACTGTAGATTGTTTGTTCACATCCAGTGTCTTACTGCTTAGAAATGTTGCTGAAGAACTTTCAATGCTTTTTCTGAGAACAATGAAAATGAGATTTCATCTGCCTATAGATGTCATACAGTTTCAAACTTCCACAAACCATGATCCTCCTCAGCTGTTTCTTTCACGTTTCATTGAACATAGAACTGTATATTGATTGTTTATACACTGAGACAAGCAAAAGCAACAAGTGCAGGTACTAGAAATGGTTATAAAATTAAGATTTTTCCTTGAAAACTCAATAGAAATTACACATTTTAGAAAGCAGTGGTTGGTTTGAATGATACTGTGGATAAATGATATGCTGTAATGTAATTTAGAAATACAAAACAACCTTTCATATTTATTTTTACATTTTGAGAGAAGATCTGTTAAGAAGAGTAAAATATGGAAAACATTATGCTTATTGTCTATGTTGTTTGTTAAGTATACTGAGAGACTGAACTTGGTGGAGAACATCTTCATTGTGTAATTTACATTACACAGGAATTCTGCTTGTACATGTGTTTAAATTGTGGTGCAGTATGCAGGCATGCACACAAATCATAGAATGTAGGTGTCGGAAAGGACCTTGGAGATTACCTATTAAAACTTCTTAGCCAGTGCAGGAATCTACTACTAAATATTCCTGATAGATAGTCATCCATCGTTTGTTTGCACACCTCCAGAGGCAGGGAAGGCATGTCTCTTGAAGCATTGTTGAATGGCTAGTACAGTTAGGATTTGTTCCTGATGTCTGATTAATATCTAATTGTTACGTGGGCTCTCTTATGGAAGAACTTTGAATAATTTTGCCCGTGTTCTTATACCCTGCAAGTCTGTGTTACTGAAGAAAACTATATTTAGCTGAAGATCTTCAAGGAACTAGAAGCATGTCTACCTTTGGTCATGGATCCCTGAAAGTTGGAACTCTGATTATTGATTGGCACTGCAGATCTTTTGCACTAATCACATGAAGATACACTTAGACATTGAATATGCTGTAACAAGGCTTATGTGCATGCTCCTTTTCCCATTATAGACTTTAGCACTATGTATGTGCTATGTAAAGAGTTATAAAGTTCATTTGTATACATAATACGCATTGGATGAATGTGTATAGGATTTAACCATTAAACTTCTGCAAATATGCCACGTTTTATGATGCATAATCATTAAAACTAAAGCCTGTTCTTATACTGTATATATTTGCATTATATAACAGAGTCTGGGCAGACACTATTAAAATGTCAGGGTCCTGATATTCCTAATTGTTCAAATCAACAATTAATCAAATTTGTATTGTCAAAGGCTTTCATGGCCGGAATACGATGGCTGGTGTGGGTCTTCTGGGCTATGTGGCCGTGTTCTGGAAGTTTTGTTTCCTAATGTTTCGCTAGCATCTGTGACCCGCATCTTCAGAGGGCAGGAGCACAGACAGGAGCAGTTCTCTCTGTGCCCAGCATGATGTGACCCTGTTGTGGGTATTTATAGAGATCAGCAAAGGTACCTGAAGGGGTGGGGGTGAGGGTGGGGGAGGGTTTGGGTTAACGAGTGGCTGCTTGTTTTGGGGTCGGGATATGTGTATATCTTCCTGGGGGTTAGGCAGGGTTTTTTCTTCTATTGAATAGTTAACGAGGGGCTGCTGAGGGTGATTAGCATGTTCATTGTGTGAATTGTTCACATGTCTTGGTGGTTGAGCTGAGTTCATTGACCTTTTGCAGGCTGTATTTTTCAGGATTGGTAGCCAG